GGGCGGGCGCAGCAACATGCGGCAAGGGCTCGCGGAATCTTGAAGACAGTCGCCCCGGGCCCCTACGTATACCCGCCAGTATACATAGGCAGTCGAAAGGGGTCGCCGGCATAGCTCCGGGCGCCATAGCATGCGGGAACGGGTGCCCAGGTCTTGGGAATTGCCTCCCTTGGTTCCTATGCATATCGGCGCGTATACGCAGGCAAAACGCCAGGCACTCCGCAAAGGGGTCCGGGCGCAGCAACATGCGGCACGGGCCGGCTTGCGGAATCTTGAAGACAGTCGCCTCGGGTCCCTACGTATACCCGCCAATATACATAGGCAAACGAAAGGAGTCGCCGGCATGGCTCCAGGCGCCATGGCATGCGGGAAAGGGTGCCCAGGTCTTGGGAATTGCCTCCCTTGGTTCCTATGTATATCGGCGCGCATACGTAGGCAAAACGCCGGGCACTCCGCGCAGGGCCCCGGGCGCAGCAACATGCGGCAAGGGCTTGCGGAATCTTGAAGACAATCGCCCCGGGTCCCTACGTATGCCCGCCGGTATACATAGGCAGACGAAAGGAGTCGCCGGCATGGCTCCGGGCGCTATAGCATGCGGGAAAGGGTGCCCAGGTCTTGGGGGTTGTCTCCCTTGGTTCCTATGTATATCGGCGCGCATACGTATGCAAAAAGCCAGGCACCCCGCGCAGGGATCCGGGCGCAGCAACATTCGCCAAGGGCTTGCGGAATCTTAAAGACAGGCGCCCCGGGTCCCTACGTATACCCGCCAGGGTACATAGGCAATCGAAAGGGGTCGCCGGCATCGCTCCGGGCGCCATAGCATGCGGGAAAGGGTGCCCAGGTCTTGGGAATTGCCTCCCTTGGTTCCTATGTATATCGGCGCGTATACGTAGGCAAAACGCCAGGCACCCCGCGCAGGGCTCCGGGCGCAGCAACACGCGGCAAGGGCTTGCGGAATCTTGAGAACAGTCGCCCCGGGTCCCTACGTATACCCGCCAGCACACATAAGCAGACGAAAGGAGTCGCCGGCATGGCTCCGGGCGCCATAGCATGCGGGAAAGGGTGCCCAGGTCTTGGGAATTGCCTCCCTTGGTTCCTATGTATATCGGCGCGCATACGTAGGCAAAACGCCAGGCACTCCGCGCAGGGCTCCGGGCGCAGCAACATGCGGCAAGGGCTTGCGGAATCTTGAAGACAGTCGACCCGGGTCCCTACGTATACCCGCCAGGGTGCGTAGGCAAAGAAACGAAAGGAGCCGCCGGCATGGTTCCGGGCGCCATAGCATGCGGAGCGGGAAAGGGTGCCAAGGTCTTGGGGATTGCCTCTCTTGGTCCCTATTCATATCGGCATGGCTCCGCTTGCGGAGTCTTGTCATGCAGAACCTCAAATCTGATGGTATTGTTGCCGTGTGGCACTGTTTGCATGACAAATTCCGGAAGCCGAAGCAGTACTGCACCACAAGGCGCATGAACTTGTCATGCACCGGCTCCACGAGTGTCGGTGTTTGTCTTGCTGTTCACGCCATGCAAATGAGGCGGAGGGGAGGTTGTGCCATTCTCATACAGGGCCCCGGGATAGCAGAAGCCTGTCGCCTGGATCGGGGGCTTGAGGGGGTGCAGAGGTGCGCTGAAGTTGCTGTAGCTGCCGTCTCCCGGCGCGTTGACTTTGTAGAACCCGAACTGCACAAACTTGCCCTGCCGCAACAGGTATCAAATGCAAATGTGTCTGGGTCTGGAAGATTCCGAGATTTGTCATGCAGTTTTTCCAAGCTCCGCCAAGTCTGGAATGCAGGGCCTAGCGTCACAGGTTCTGGAGCCCCTTGGTGATGCCTATTCTGCATGAGAAATGCTCTCTCAGCATGGCGAGAAATGGAGACCTTTTGCAAAGCATGGCAACACTGATTTTTGTATGATCCGCAACACGCATCACAAGTTCGCATCCATCCAGACCCAGACACTTTTGCAGTTGATAACAGGTCCACCGAACCGTCCTCATTGTGGCAGATCGTATTGTCGGTAACCAGATCAAATGCAAAAATGTCTGGGTCTGGGAGATTGCGAGATTTGTCGTGCTAGTCTGGCATGACTCTGAACTCTGTCTTGCATGGCCCCGAAGAGCTTCTCCTCCTTGTCATGCAAAAACGCCGTTTCTCATGCCGAATACGCAACTCAGAAGCATGAAAAAAACTTGTCATGCTTGGCAGCGCATTATAGTGAGCTTACTATTTCCTTCCCTGCATCACAAGTTTCCAGACCCAGACATTTTTGCCCTTGATAAACCAGATCGCTGCACCCGCGCGGCCGGCCAATGTCCGCGGTGTACTGCATGCCGAGGAGCTCTTGCTGGCACATCGTGACCCAGACGTGCTTATCACACGCAAATATGTTTGTAGTCTGGGTCTGGAGGGGAAGGAACGCAGAAGTTCGTGTTGTAAATTGTCATGCATTTTATTGGATCACGCAACTGGTCTCTAATGGACGCAACAGTATTTTTTTTCTTTTTTCTTTTTACCCGTTTTGCACAGGCCCTTTCATGAAGTTGAAGATGCTTATCCCCCATGAGAAACTCTCTATTCGCGTAAACTACAAGAAAGCGCAAGCGGCAGCTTTCATGATTTTCGGTGCTCATGCAATCCAAATTTTTGCGTACAATTCCAGAATCCGCATCACATGTTGCAACCTTCCCGACCCAGACACATCATATTTGCAGTTGATAGCGCTCGAAGTCCACCTCTGCGCCGTTTGCGAGGCCCCGAAGTTCCGCGAAGATGAGCGGATATTTGGCTTCGTTGAAGTTCCGGAGATATGGACATGGCAAACATCGGTCTGATGTGCAGGAGGATATTCACGCAGCGGAATCTATCTACACCGATGTGGCTGCTCGAAAAAGTAAAAAGCGGTCGTCGTACATACTACAAATTACTGCTGTACAGCACGACGAGAGGACCACGACTCTGTTCTTCTTGCATTCGATTGTATCGGAGCAAACTGACGAACAATCCTCATGCATTTATTTTCCAGACAAAGACCTATTTGCAGGGGATAGTAAGTACCTGTGATTTTTGAAGATGCGAAGTGCGGTTCTCAACAAGGTTCCAAGGAAAAATTCGTGCTGGAGAAAGTGAATTGTGATACCACTTCTTCTTTTCAGCAAACACCTTCATGTATTGCTCCCCCTGTTCTTACTATCCAGGAAAAAAAGTGTGTAAGTGTAACTTTCTTTGAGGAACAGCATCACAAATTTGCTGTACATGACAGAGAAAACCTGTCATGCATGGCTTGTAAGGGAAAACACACATGAAGAGAGGACTTCATGGCTGTCTGGCATGACAGGCGTATCTCTTTCGCATTTTCTGCAACACAAATTTACACTTACACAGTTTTTTTCTTGCATACTTACCTGCTGTACTCCCTTGCCTCCTCGCTTGTCTGCAAGAAGTTCCACGCTTCCAGGTACCACGGCTCTGCGTAGACAAAGGCCTGGATTTGCGACCGCATGTTTTCCCCAAGCTCCCGGCCGAACGCGTAGTGGCCGTCATAGTCGTCGGGAAACGATCAAATGCAAATATCCCTGGATGTCTGGAAGGCTGCAACTTGTGATGCTCGATTTGGATTCTACAATATATCTGTATTGCACGAACAGCAAATTATCAAGCGGTCCAGTTTTATTTGCCACAGCGATAGGGCATTTCCCATGCGGTATAGACATCAGAAAGCCCTCGCAATAAAATTTGTGATGCTAGGGCATGCATCACAGACGTCAGGAGTCCTGCAAACTGCGCATGGCAAACCTGGCATCTTCCTTCCAGACCTCCAGGGATATTTGCAGTTGATAGAAACAGGCCAAAGTCGTGAAACTCTTCCTCCGAGACCGAGTGGGTGATCTGCTTCAATCTGGGAAAGGAAGAAGTCCTTATGAATTGCAAAAGTGTCATCTGGGTCTGGAAGATTGGAACTTGTGATGCTACCTTTGGACTCTACATAAAATCTGTATTGCATGAACAGCAAAAGAGGTGTATATTTGTGCTACGCGGAGAGGGCATTTCTCATGCGGTATGAGCATCAGAGAGCCCTCGCAAAATCTCTGATGCTAGGACGTGCATCACAGACCTCATGGGGCATGCAAAATATGCATTACAAACTCCTGCACTCTTCCAGACCCGAACATTTTTGCAATCCATAGTACTCGTTAGATTACCACTGCTCGCTGTTGTACCAGCGCTACCACCACTCGGTGATGGTAGTACAGCCATCGCACTCTTCCTCCTGCCGATAGTACTTTTCTGCCGTCGGAGCGATGTTTGCGCGGTCGTAGCTAGTGTTCGGGTGGTAATAGTACTAGTTTTGGTACTTATACTGTCACGGGCAAGCGCTTGTTGGGCTGCTTGGGGGAGTATTGGCTGCGAAGACTGTTGGTGTACGAAGTAGTTACCGTTCGCTCCACCTTCGTCGCAGAAAACGAGCTTTCTTTTATTTCTTGTTGTCGAGAGCACTGCTGTACCACCACCAACTCTTCTTCGCGCATTCTTTCGTACACCATGATCTCCATGCCGCGGCTCGGGCTGGGGTGTAGTAGTGGCTGTCGCGTGGTCCTTGTTGTTTTGCACAGAGTTGTCTGTCCTCGGCGGTAGGAGGTGTGCGAGAACGGAGTTAGGCCATAAACTACAGCCGTTGGGCGAGAAACAGGAAGAGAAACCGCGCCTCATGGTTCAAGTTAGGTTGCGTGATGGATTCTGTACGTTCTGAAGAGGGAAGAACCTCTCTCCACCTAAAACTTCATGGATGGCGCTGCGCTACGCTTGTGTTCGCAAGTTGGTGGAAACTTAAAATGAAAAATTGGCTGAGCACAACATGAAGTACAAACCAAAAGTTGAGACACATCCAACGACGGGAACAAGAACTAGCAACCGCCCTGAAGGGATCCTTCATTCAAAAATCGAGCTACATATATAAAACAATTTGGAACACAACAGCTGACTGCAATGGAATGCTTACAAACAAATTTTGAGCCGTGGTTTCTACAATATTCTTCGGTTCTTTTCTCATTTTTGGTTTCTGCAGCTGAAATCGGGAATTTTTTGAATCCCTTCATCACTATCCACCCATAATTCCCGTTCCGGCTTTCTCAATCACAGCTTCTGACTGATCCGTTTTCTACCTTAATTTCGTGCGGCACGTGCTCTGGAAATGAAAATTTGTTTTGTGTCCGGCGAAAAGATGTCATGGATATGCAACAACGGAAAAAATACTACTACTTTCGAAGCGTGCGCGTGCCAATAATTCATTCGGAGTTTAATTAGGTGGTGTTCTTACTTTTTAATATGATTTTACATCCTTGTGTCTCGCGAAAAAAAAATGAAAATTTGTTTGCTTGCAATCTTGTCGTGCAGTAAGGGGAGAACGCGTTTTTAGTGCACGGGGCAAGCGCCACTTGCATATTACCTATGCAAGGGGCGCTTTTTCTTGCAGTTGACGAAAGTACCACTTGGACCTACCCTATTATACAGTTTGCATGCTGATTCGAGTACAAGTTTATCTGTAAGCGATTTAATTTCTTGAATAATTGTGTTTAGCTTCAATACTATCCGGAAAAAAATCGTACAAATGTCTGGCTTCAATTTCAAACAACTTGTACAAGGCCAATCCGCATCCAAATCACAGCCCGGACAGTCTGGCTACAACTGATTCATCCAATTCCACATGTTAATGCAGATTCCACATGTTCCTCGCCTGCACCTCCCCCCGGGTAGTAAAGCTATACTAGTTCTTGATGTTATTTTCGAGCTAAAATTTTTTCTGGCCGCTTTGCATGCTAGCGCGAAGAGGAGGACCACGAGCGCCTATAGTGCTGCAGACGCTCGGTAGAATTCAAAGACAGAACGGGTCCCGGTCCCGCCCGCTGTGCCCTCAAGGCAGCTCGGTCGTGCATATGCTTGTAGCCACTCTGCTCCTCCCACGGTCTTGGCCTGGTTGCTGGAGCATCTGCCACCACGCAGAGTCCGGGCCCAATCTTGCTACTTCCGCTCTCAGCAACTGCTCGGGGGAGTCAACATCCTTCTGCGCCAGCATTTGCCTGAGCAAGTTCCAGTCTTGTCTGGACGCTCTCGTATACCGAAACACGTGCCGCACGACGTTTCTCCACTTTTCAATATTTTCCGGACCGCCGTGGATATCAAATGCAAATGTGTCTGGGTCCTCTGGAAGTAGAGTGCAGGAGTTTGTCATGCAGGTTTTGCATGCGCCACGAGGTGGACTGCGACTCAGAACCAGGGTATAGCATGATCACAAGAACTTTTGTTGCATGGAGGGCTTCGCAAAAATGCAAATCCCGCATGAGAAGTATTATGCCGTTTAATATTGGCAGGGCCAAAATCCAAAATCAAGGGCTTCTTGTGCTACCCGCGCAAGACAGATTTTTGTGTAGTCTACTGTGGGACGGCCACGGCGCATCACAGGTCGCTCTCTTGTTCCAGTGACCCAGATCGATATTTGCAGTGCATAGTCGGTATCTCGTAGCAACGGCGTCTGCCACAGTTCCCCGACAGAGTAGATGAGCCCTACCTCCATCGCCTTGCACCACCCTTGCTCCGGTTGGTCGGGCGTCTCCCAGTCCACTACTATCCAACAGAAGGAAAGTACTGTACAGCAGTGATGCGAAAAATATTTTTAATTCTATATGCAAATTTTTCTGCCTGGTGGCTTTCGTGCTAGTTAAACACAACTTTTGTTCCTGGCGCTTTCCAATTAAGGCGGCGCCTTTGCGCATTTTTGCGCGTTGCGTGATACTGCATGCCAGAAAATGATGAATAGTTGCTACATTTCGGGTCGTTCTTCCCGCAGATTACCGAGTTACAACGTGAAGATGTTGAACTTGTGAAGATGTTGCCAAGAAATAGCCCCAAGGCTTCTATATAAAACCAACCGACAAGAAAAATGAATTCCGATAAAAAGCACCAGCACCATGGGTCGTCCGTCACTGTATCACAGTACTTTTATTTCACGTTGGATACACCTCACCTCGCTCGCTATTTTCAGCCACGTTTCGACCTCAAACTCGTCCCCTGGCGCTCGCCGCTCCACGTCGCCTGGGTGGAAAATTAACCCCTGATCGACGGCCTTGCTCACCGTCGTTAAGTTCTGCCGAGCCACACTCCCCCGTGGCACTTGGTTCTGCCAGTCCGTGATTAGACAAGGAAGTGGCTCATACCCTTCGCCAAAGCCGCTCCCCTCCCCGACGGACAGTGCCGCATTCACCACGCGGCCGTGCCCCTTCACCTGGTCCGGCACCTCGGTATCCCAATCCGTTATCAGATCGGAAAGACTGATGGCGTTTGCCACCACGTCCGGGTCATGTCGGTGTTCCTCGGGAACCTGCTCTAGCCAATTGGTGATCCAGCCTTGACCAATGGCGCCATAACGTTCGGTCGCGTATTTCCCCGCGGTTGCCTTGCCGTGGAGCAGGTATGTCAGAGCGTCGCCGTAGATCAACCGGTGGTTGGCAATGTCTTCTGCGGTATAATTTGCTTTCGTGTGGGACTTTTTCTTTTGCAGGTCAGCCGACAGTGAGGCCCGTTCCTCCTGCGACGGCCACCGGCGTTTCGCTAACTCTTCCGGAAGGACGTATTGCCACTGGCGGTGCTGGATGCCCGCGTACACGACGAGCGGGTCGTCGCGAATCGTTTCCGGAATGTCGGCCCAGGATTGGTAGTAATTCTGTTTGATCAGTTCCGCTGCTACATGCGTTTTTTTGCCCGAAAAGGTCGAAGCCCCGACGCGAAGTTGCCAGTGATCACCAGCATGATTCCGTGTCGTGTAGTTGGTCACCGCTGCGTTACCTTGCTGCGCAGTTGACCACGTCGACGAACCTCCGCCGCGCGCCACATGCTGCAGGTTGCTGAGCAGCTGGTGCTGGGGCAGTTGTCGCGAAGAAGAGGAGGAAGCGCTTATCCTGAGTAAAAACATCCCCACCCCATGGTTGTCATGCAGATTTGCGACTGCAGGAAGATTTGTAATGCGCATCTTCATGAGAGGCATTTCCAATCGCGTTCTGGAATTTGTAATGCTGTAAACAGGATAAGCCGATAGATTTGTGATGCGGTTGTCCTTGCTAACATACACTACACTACGGACTGCAACTTGTCATGCGTGGCTCCCAAAACTTCTGGATTTGTGTTGCTAAGTTCCCAACTTGACTATGGGGCGGGGACGTTTTTACACAGGATAGCGCTTGTTGTGCCAGTCCTCCGGGTCGTGGGCGAGGACCGACGCTTGGAAGAGGAGCTGGAACGTCGACCAGATCTATCGCCACTCCCAGCTCTCGTCCGCGAGCTATGCAGGGACAGCGCCGACACGATGAATGTGTCTTGCAGGAGATTCTTGTTGCAGTCGGTCATGCAGCAGCATGAAGAAAATCCGTATAACAATCGGCTTGTCGAAGTCAAAGAAAATGCGTAGTAGACCACGAGAGCGAAGCTCTTCATGATCTTTGACGGGACCACGGAGTAGACCACCATGTTTTACAGGTTTGAACCAAATTTCGATTCGTGAAGTTTATCGGTATAAAAATCTACTCGGGTGGTCGTGAGAGAAGACGTAGATGATGAAGTATATGTTGACAAAGCCAGATTATTCTGGTAAGAGAATTGCGATCGGAAAATACGATCCGGGATGAACAAAACGAATGCTAAGTGCGAATGTAGGAAAATAAACTTGTGGAAGAAGATCAACTACGACAGTATAATCGGCCAATCATACATCGATTGCGCGCTCTTCTTTTCGAAAAAAACGAAAATTTTTTGCAGTAAGTAATGCATAGAAGTAAACAAAACAAGTCTTCTGTGTGGAATATCCCAAAACAAGTCTTCAAAATAAAAGTTCAATTACGTTGTGCGAAAGCGAATAGCAACCAAAGTTGTAGAAGTTCCGAGCAAACGCAAGTTTTGTATCTTTTCCTGTTGCACCAGCTTCCTTTTTCCGTTGAAGAATTACTTTTTTGTGGGGTAAGAATGTTCAAGGGAACTCGCTACTAGCCAGAAATGACGAAGGGGATGAATTTTCTAACGTTTTCCCACTTCCTTGTTCTACCGGAATAAAACTGCTATCGACCGATGGCGCTTCTTTTCAAAAAATGCGAGGCGGCATGCAACCTCTTGATTTTTCTTGGTGCCAGTTTAGAAATTTATTGACGTCGTGATCTGACCGTAACATCCTGTGGAGCAGCACCTCAAAAGGATCATTTGTCAATCTATTTGCACTTGTTTTCGGATCGAATTTCGTTTTCTTTTTGCCGATCTGTGATGAGCCATTTTTATCCGGGTTTGACGAGTCTTGTGGATCACTATGAGCGAAGACTTCGGTTTGACTACGAGCGGGATGGTGTCACAGCGTAGATCATAATTACAGACCGACTACAGCGATTTTTGCCCCTCGAGAGAGGGGGGAGCAAGGTCCCGTTGCCGGGACCCTAGAAGCCGCCGAAAAAAAAGACGTCTCCCCGACCTAAAATATCGAAGGCAACCATGACGATTTTTGCCCCAGCAGAGGGCCAGGAGCAAGGTCCCATTGCCCGGACCGAAGAAACCGTTACAAAAAAAAGCGTCCACCCGACAGAAAATATCGAAGTCAACCGAGACGATTTTTGCCCGAGCAGAGGGCCAGAAGCAAGGTCCCATTGCCCGGACCCAAGAAACCGTTACAAAAAAAAGCGTCCGCCCGACCTAAAATATCGAAGTCAACCAAAACGATTTTTGCCCCAGCAGAGGGCCAGGAACCAGGTTCCTTCGCTCGGGGGTTGTTATCAGAAGAAACACGACCCGATGAACAGCTGTACAACAACTCCGTTGGTACGTGAACCGCCTGCCAACGCCCGACGTTTTCAACCGTTTTTGGTTTATGAGTTGCACTATAAAGAGGCTCGCATCTTGATCTTCCAGTTCTTGCTCCAGGCCAAAAAGTTCCGGAGACAATTGTTTTTCTCCCAACATGGAGAAAGAAACACTCTGCACGCTGTAGCGACGTCGCTCCTGAGTTTTCTACTACAAGGTCGTTGCACCTGTTTTAATAGTACTAAAAACCTCATGAAGTAGATCATTAGTGCTCGCTGCACCGTGTCAGAGTGACTCTGCTCATCATCATCATACACGCAATGGTAAGTACAGTATACGTTTCGTTGTTGTTTTTCTTGTTTACATGTATGAAAAAATTCAAATAAGTACACCAACAGAGCAGTGGTTGCAGCAACAACTACAGCGTGAAAAGCGAAAAAATGTTCCCTACTTGACTCTCTCGTCCGTCGCTTTATCTAGAAAAATTGGGCACCTCGCTGAAGATGCAGCCTCAGAATAGTAGAATCCCGTGAAGAAGTAGACGGGTTGTTCGGGTTCTTGTAAGATTCTAAACAGGCGAAAAGTCGACAGAAAAGCGAAACCCTGGAAATCCTAAAGTCATGTCTCGTAATTTATCCAAATTTATCCTTGTTGTGCACTTAGCTGTTCAACATTGCGGAAAAGGGAGTGCAGCTTCTTCCAGAAGTTAACTAAAAAAATGCTGCACAAGAAAATTTGAAATAAACTGACTCAACATCTTCTTCTACTCTAGTATCGCCGTTGTAGCCTCCAGACTTCTCGTGAAGATGAATTCGCTAAATAAGTGAGCCGGAAGCTGCACAGTAATTCTCCTACTTCGAGGAAGAAAGTACTGCGAATGTTGTGTTGCTCTTCATCGGGGTTGTGCTAATAAAATCATCGTACACGATACGAGTGGGTCGTGGTTGTTGGGTCCAGGGGTTTCGCTGAGCTTAAATGCAATCATACATGTAGTATCTCCTTGACCTTTTGAAAAAAATCCGACATAATTATACACGAACCTGCATCTGCTCGAATAGTATCAAGGCTTTTATTACAGTGGTTTTGGAATAAAACTAAAAGCAATGGAGATCAGTAATATCGCTCAGCACCAGATTTCTATCTCCCCAGAACAAGAACCAGTAAAAATCGCACGACAACAGCCAGACGCAAGTAGATACGGAATGCGGTACTCTACGGTATCAAAGTTGCTGCCGTGATAGATTATGCTGTATCTATTGTTACAGAGTAGATCCAATGCTGGCACAACTAGCCAATATTATGATCGTCACTTGTTATGCCAAACGTATTAAACCGCCGGATACTATAAAAAATCGAGTGAAGATAATCTGGTTCTGGAGCACATGAAAATAAACAACTGTAGTGGTCGTCCACCTCACGACATTGCCACAACAACAAGCGAGAAAAGTTAGCTACTAGTTCCGTTTATTTCATCCGCTATCTTGTAGTTGAAACCGCGCAGTCCTTTGCTAGTAGCGAAATGACGAATAAGTCCTCGTCGTGCTCTCCTGCGTCGGCTCGGAGTAGACTCCAAGAATTTTTACAAGTCGGCGGAAAGCTGGACAGCTTTGCAACCCGCGTCGGCATACTCTGCGTGATCGAAATCCGGATTGATGCCTCGCGACAGTTCCGTATCCTGAGCAAAACCGTCCCCACCCCATAGTCAAGATGGGAAATCCGCTAGAGAAATCTGCCAGCTTTGGGTGTTGCGCATGACAAGTTTGCCTTTGTAGTGTAATCGTGTTTAGCTTGTTCAGCAGCATCACAGATCTAGTCTATTATGCTGATTGGAGAACTGCAAATTACAAAACACGGCTAGAAAATGCTTGTCATGGGGCTCCGCATGAGAAACATTTTGAGCATGCAGATTTGCATGACAAGTATGGGGTGGTGACGTTTTTACAAATGATATTCCGGCACCCAGTAGACGTTAAACCCCTCATCGACGCCGTCGGTGGCGTATTAGAGTGCACACCCCCTTCTCCACCTCATTCGTATGGCATCAGCAGCATTACAAGCACCAGTACTACAGGTGACCCCTGTGCATGACAAGTTCATGCGCCGAGTGTAGAAGTACTGTTTGGATTTTTTCCGGAATTTGTCATGCACACTGTGCCACAAGGTAGTAGCAACTGGATTTGGGGTTTTGCATGACAACTGGGGGGGGACGGGAAGTTGTGCACTTTCGTATGGCGGTGAAGAACACGCAATAGTCCAGCGCGAGGCCGAAAACGACGACGGACTTAATGCCCTCAGATTGCAGGTACTCGGTCAGCCCAGTGCCGTGGCCGCCGTCATCCAGAAACGCGGAGTAGCTGTCCCAGTCGGTGCGCGTGCCCTTCTGCTGGATTTTCTCGCCGGCGTCCACTGGCATGGCAATTTCCGCACCGTTGCTTATCCAGTGCAAATATCGATCTGGGTCTGGAAGGATAGTATAATAATAGTGGCAAAGGTTTTTTCACTCCTAAGGAAGCTCCTAAGGAAGCTTCCTTACGGAAGTTGTCCCTTAAGAGGGCTTGCTAAGGAAAAGCCTTAAGCAAAATTATCTTAAGGCGTCCTCGCTTAAGAAGGTACGCCTTAAGGCGGGCTCGCTTAAGGCGTTCTCGCTTAAGGGAGCTCCTAAGGAGCTCCTTAGGAAGCTCCTAAGGAGCCCTTAGGACGCTCCTTAGGAAGTTCCTAAGGAGCCCTTAGGAGCCCCCTTAAGGGCCTAGCCCTTAAGGGAGAACTCCTTAAGGACCTAGCCCTTAAGGGAGAACTCCTTAAGGGCCTAGCTCCCTAAGGAGCGCAAAGCTGGCAAAGCGCAAAGCTAGCAAAGGAAAAGGAAAAGGAAAAGGAAAAGCAAAAGCAAAGCGCAAAAAGCAAAGCGCAAAAAGCAAAGCGCAAAGCGCAAAAAGCAAAAAGCAAAGCGCAAAAAGCAAAGCGCAAAAAGCAAAGCGCAAA